CAAATGCTGGCTAAGTCCTTGAATGGTATTGCCTAACCAACCAAGGAAATAAATATAAAACTAAGCATTATCTGTTTACTAATAATACTGCACTCTGTGCCACTGAATAATTTTGCCCTTGTAAACCTATTATAATGAAATAAGGGAGGAGGAAGAGGAGGGAGGTGGAGGAGGATGCTTGTGTTAATTCTTAGTGATCATGTAGATAGATTTTCTCTAAGGCAGGGGTCTTCAAACTTGACAGCTTGAAGACTTGTGGGCTTCAACTCCCAGAATTCCTCCTCCAGTCATGTTAGCTCAGGAAATCTGGGAGTTGAAGCTCACAAGTCTTCAAGCTGCTCTAAGGTATTCTGTTCCCAACTTGGTCCTTCCAACAGAATACCCATTGCCTCTGTAACTGGAGTTCATTTAACCTGCTCTTCTTCTTTTCCTTTCCACCTTTCCAAGAATTACAGACTTCTCAAGAGAGCTGGGATTTTGCATAAAGTTTCCAAAATATGATTATTTGAATCTGAACATTTGTACCTCAAGTGAGAATTCTGGATTAATTTCTGGTCCATTTGTTTGTTTTCATGGGTACCTGTGGTATCCACAGGATTCTTCTCTGGCACCAATGTTCAAAATCATTAATACAATGGGAGGAAAAAGTAGCTTGGTTTATTCTGTTATGATTTCCTCAGCAAGAGCTATGTTTAATGATGGCGGAGGGGGTACTAAATGAATGGCTCAAGCTTGTGAAGAGGTGTCATTTATTGACTTGTATTTGTGTACTTAATGGTTGGGATGTAATTTTGTTTCAACCAATTACTTGTAGGTAAATTTAGGTACTTCACAAGTGGGTACCAACAAATTAATGTACACACAATGTCACAATGCAGAAAGTTAAAGAAAGTCATTGCAATGTTAGGAATATTTATCAAAGGCTGTTCCCTCTCCCCACATCATTGTGTATATATGGGTAAATGCACACAACAGAACTCACATGTTAAATATGCATGGCGAAGGATTCCAGTGTGCTGGTTTTCAAGAACCTCTTGCTGTGTGTTAAAACTTTGCCTGCTCATATACATTCAAATGGCATTTTTGCCTAATCCCTCCCATGTGTCAGAAAAGCCACAATGTTTATTGCTAAGCTTCTTTGTGTTTGTAGCACTGCGTGGCAACCAGCTCATCCTGAAGCAAGTTCCTGCCAACACCAAGAGAACCTTTTTCACCGTTTCATGACAAACTGTTTTATCAGCAACAGGAAATGATGTTATTGCCTTCCGCACAATGGGGGAAACTCCTAGTTGTTTCCATGGGGATATAGGCAACTGTGTAATTACACTTATACACACATTGTTTTGTCGATAAATTGGGGAAATAATAAATAATCATTATTAAAAGTGGTTGGATCACAATCAGAAAGATTTAACATAAAGAGGCTTTACATAAATGCTAGATGATGCAATACATTTTATTAATCAAGAGTGTTCTAATATAAGAAACAAAGCGAGCGCTTACAATTACATGTAAGCTATATACTGTTTCTGTTTGAAAGGTTAAAAGCATTGAGAGCCAAGCGGGGGGGGGGGGGGACTGCTGAAAATAATCTTGGCTTCCTTATCTGTGATAAATCACCAAACACAAATAGCTGCAAAATCTTTTGAAAATAACTGTTTTGCCTTATGCCTCCAGAACACAACTTGCAACCAGCTGGAACGGGTTCAGTCAAGGCTATTACACTGTGTCCCAAACTATACTTCTGTGCCCATCATACAGTACTGATTTAGATCAAAAACTTGGATGACTGCCAAGTAAGAAATGAATTGTTTTGCGAAATGATAAAACAATTTTTCCACCCTTTGCTGAATGAAATCCCTTTGGAAATTCCATTAAGCAAATGGTTGTGAGCTTTCTTTAATCAGACAAATCATGGCGGATGCCAAGGTTGTATTTTTCCATTGACTGCACTCAGTTTAAAGGTAGAATCACTTTGCATGGCCCGTACCACAAACAGAAGACACTGTTACATAAGAAGCACAAGGGAGGGAGTGGAGTGATGAAAGGAGCAATACAAAGAACAGAACTCATTCCTGCTCTTTTTAAAACTTATTTGCTTAAACTCCACTTTGCAAACTAATATTTCAAAGCAGCTTGCATTAAAAAGACTTGATGCATATAGTAACAAAACAGAAAGGTCAGAGCAACTATGAAATCTTCTGGGAGGAAAACGTTTTCAAACAACAAAGCAAGGCAGAGGGCTTCCCAGAGATGAAATTCTGTAAGGGTGGTTCCGCATCTAAGAAAACTCTGGCCTTAACGCCCAGAGGCCAGGCCTTTGCTAAGGAAGGACTACAGAACCCAATCTAGTTGAATTGTATGCATTCTGAATAATGATCAAGGCATCTTCCAATACTCTGAATTCACAAATTGCACTAAGCATTATTGTGGGGTTGGTTTTGGTTTAATATACTATATAAACCTAGTCCTAAACCATACTTGTATTTTAATGTCATGTACTGTATATATCAGTAATATAAGGACTTTGTCAATTAAACATAGCTAAATCACCCACAGCTTATAACACATTTTAGGAATGTTAACACAGTGAATGAAAATAATTGTTATTATCGTCCTTTTTTATGGTTATGATCATAAAGATATCCTTAATCATATTTTTCTGATACAAATTTTCTGATATATAACATTGAAATGTCAACTAACCACATGGACTGACTACACACAACACAATTGACTTAAATGTTGGTTAGTTTAAAGCCCAGTGTATTAAACCTCTATCTTCTGAATAGAATACCTGATGTTCTCTTTCAATACAATTTATTTTCACAATCAGAGAGCGTCACTGAAAGAGACTTAGATCAAGTTCATTCAATTTATGGCTAGGAATTTGGAATTCTGAAATTCCTAAATCTATAATGTTAGGGACTTTTGTTTATTTTTATTTACACTTCTTCTTGGCTTTGTATGTATGTTGGGTGCATTCGCAGATGAGGAAATAACACCTAATGTTAACTTTTTTACTCCATATGGTTCAAGATATTTATAGACAAAGTTTTCTACAGGGAAAAAAAATCAGATGAATACAGGAATATAGTGGATATCATGACACACACACACACACACCCCGCAATGTAAAAGTATAGTTTTAAACCAATGCTGATATTTCTCCTTAGATATCAGGGCATTAATCTGAAATCTTGTCATCTAATCCAGCAATGGAGGGTCCTTATAGACCATGTCTGAACTTTTCGGTCACCCTGCTTTGTTCAAAGAAGTTTCAAAGGGTTCTATTAGCATTTTCCATTTGTAACCCTCTAATATTTTCCTGTCTTTTTCATTATTTTTTTTGCTGAGTAGCATCCATGAAAGAAGAAAAGTTGTGAAATTTCTACTGATTAACTGCCAGTACTCGATTTACACATCATGCTAAATTGGAGTTTATTTTAATAATAATTCACTGAATTAATCAGAATAGGTGGGCTTACAACATACAAAGCCAAAAATTATTTAATCATCTTATACCTTGGTTTCAACATTGCACAACACTATTTGCTTGGATTTCTAAACCAAGGAAACTGTGGAGTTATGTTTATGTAATTTCTGTAAAAATAATATTACGTAAAAGCACCTGCTAACTGGAATTAACCAGGTTTTCCAAATGTCCAGTATGTAGTGAAGTGGTTCAGAAGCTTCAGTTTATGACTGGGTTCAAACAACTTGCTAAATCACAAACAGATCACAAAATGTTATATGATTAGTCTTCTGTAAACACATTCGGTATGATTTTAAATCATGATTTGTGACAGCATCTTATGGGAACCTAGACCTCTAAAGTTTAAAAATAAACCATTGTTAAATAAACCAGTTTAATGTGCCATGTGAATGAAGTGTTGGAGAGAAGAAATATTAACACCGGCCCACAAAACTTCTCTGAGATCAATCATGCAACATTAAAGTCTCTTTCAGTTCATCTATAAAATGAGAACAATGTTAACCAACTTATTTTCAATGACTGAGATTAAGAAGAAATTGGTCAACCAGATAATCTTCCACTCATATGCATCCCCATTCTTCTCTCCCTGAGGCATATCCACAGAAAAGGGTCATCACAGAAGGCACCATTCAGTCACCAATGGGACTGCAATAGCCGCACATTTTAAGATGAATGTCAATGTCAGCTGAAAATGATTCTCAATTCTTAGGAAGAAAAAAAAAAATCTGACACGATTTTCCTCAAAATAAAAGTTGCTTCAAGCATGGTTTATGAAAAGTACATTTAATGAATTGTTTTGCCCATGTCTATATCTCAGAGGCCTTTGCCCCCTTTTTTCTTCTTTTTCAGAGAACTGTAACTTCCCTAGAAGGAGAGGGGGAAGGAAGTTGTTTTAATATGGCTCAGTCTTTAAAAGAATTCAACATGGAAATTGTGTGCTGAATTTTGGAACTTTCCTAATAATATGTCTCTGGTAGTAAGCAAGAGTTTATTAGAAATGATAACCATCAAGCCAGGGATATACACGTACTGCTGAACTCTACCTCCAATCCTTACTTAGATATCTGAAAGACGATAGAAGCTGTGGTTGAAGGAATGGAATGTTTTTCATCAAATAGTCATAGATATTTTCATATGATTAATGTTGGCCATGCTAATTATGTAGGTCATCTCAATAGTGGCATTGGATCTCTTTTCCTCCTTCTTATCTGGATGATCCACACCGTCAGATCTGACAACACTAATAATCTGCTGCCTTAGAAAAACTAATTTTGTGTGTGTGTGTGTGTGTGTGTGTGTGTTTTCCTTTGCTGAATGTAAGAACCCATTTCTCATCTTCTCTGAACAGGAATACAGGGCAGTTTTTTTAGGAATGAGATTTCCAGAGTTCGGTCATGATTGTGGGAAGGGCTACTTGACAAGAGTCCATCAGTCAGTAAGCTAGAAATATTTGCTTTCTGATCTTGTCATTAGTAAGAAAGAAAGGGGGAAAACATTTAAAGGATTTAATAGAAATGTCATAATTTATTTGGCTGGTATAAAAGGCATTACAAAACCTGTCTTCTTTTATAAGAAGAAAATATATTATTTCACATCATAAATAAATCCAGCAAGCATACAACCACTAGCAACCAAAAAAGCCTCACAACACTCCTTTGTGCTTTCCATGTCAGTGCTTTGGAAACAGTTTTAAGATGTTTTTGTAGGATTACAGTACCAAAAAAACCCCACCTGAGGTATTTTGTTTCTTTCTTTTTTTAAAAAAAAGACAAGAAAATGAAAATTCAGACTTGAAGACGAAACACTCATTGCAATTACACCATAAAAATAAATAAATACAAAGAACTTCTTGTACAAGGGGCCAGCATATCCAGAGACAGCGAATTCTGTTGGATTTGCTACTGGAACAGCGAGGGAGGGAAAGACAGTAATGGGAATTTTTCAGGAGTAGAAAGCAAAGTCCTTTGTGCTTTGTCCCCCTTTATGGGCATCCAAACATTGGTCAAAAATGCCTCTCTGTCAAGATCATCTATCAGAAAGAACCTCGCTTTCTGGAGTCAGAAATATTGATCTGCTGGTGATTCTGTATTGCTTGTAACAATGTAGATGTAACAAGAGGAGACCCATATAAACGAATAGATCTCCTCCTAAAGTTATTGCACTTTTCAGGTAACAACAAGATGTCAAGTCTTTGCACAGAGTCAGCTGGCACCTGCCTTTCAACAGCTTGGAGATGTGGTGATGGGGCTCTGAAGATAGTTTAGTGCATTGGAAGAAGGATGAACAGGGATGGAAACGGGGAAGTTGAAGACAGTTGTAGTGGATGTTCCTCTGTCCAGTGCAGACATAGCTGGGCTTCCAGCCTCTGCTGAGCAATTTGGAGCAAGGACCTGGGATTCAAACTGCAACAGCTGGCCCATGAAGCTAAAGTTAGGGGAGATGATGCTTCTTCTCTGTTTCACAAACTCAAAGGCTTCGTCGAGTTTGACTCGGTTGGTCCTCATAAGATAAGCAAGACAAATGGTTGCAGAGCGGGAGATTCCAGCTTGGCAGTGGACAAACACTCGTCCGCCATCATTTTTGATGGAGTCTGAAACAATGAAGAAAACATAAAGCTTAGTACATCTTTTTCCGAGATGCTTCGCCCCGAAGGGAGAATCTTTCCTAGCATCTTAATATTCAGCGAGGAAGGGAGATTGAGGCACAAAGGAAGACAGCAATGATAGGTTGGACGATGCACTGTCTGAACATGCAGGTAATTTATTCTAATTGGCCACTTAATTTTTTTTGCTGAAAAAGCTACTTTGAAAATGCTGTCAGCGTGAGAAGGGATCAGATTACTAGCTGCTCTTTACAACACCCTCATCACTGAATTCAGTGACATCACGCATAAAGCTCTAGATGTTCTTCGCATATACAGAACTATTGTCCAAAGAAACTCAAAGCATCAGCATAACCGTAGATATATTTTAAATGTTGCTGTCTTATTAATCCTCCCTTGCTATCTACCAAAGAAGGCTCCTTAAAACACTGGCACACGGGGTATTATACATTTGGAATCCAAATGGCACAGCTGCAGAAAGAAAAAGCATTTACCTATGAAGTCAATAGCTTCATTAAACCAGCAACTGATGTCAGCTTTGTGGCTGTCCTCTACAGGGATGCTTTTGTACTGATAGTGTCCTTCAAAATGGTTAGGGCAGTTTGCAGAGACATTGATCAAGGCGGTGATCCCCAAAGTATCCAGCATGTCTTTTCTGGAAGCATGATAGGCACTGCCTAAATACAGGAAAGGCAGGATTTCCACTGGACCACCCTGAAACAGAAAAGAACAGGATCTGTTAAGCCCCAGTTAAAAATTGCCACTATTCCAGAATGATTGTTCTCACAACTACCAACTACCATGCCCTTATCAAATACAAAATTGAAACGTTTACATGGGCCAATTAACTACCCCCGCCCCCCAACTCTCTCTCTCTCTCACACACACACACCCCTCTGTGGCCACCCAACCTCCTTTGAAGAACGTCAACTGACCTGATCATAGAGAGGGGTTCCACAGGAGCTGCAGTTGGAATCGGCACTGCCAGGGGTAACGGTGGTACTGAGAGGCAGTGTGAGGCCTTTAGGGACAGAGGGCTTGGTGCACAGTTCAGGGAAGGTGGAAGAGAAGGCCTCGTATCCTCCTGGAAGAAAAGAAAAAGAGAAAACCGGGTGGTTAATATATTTGGAGAAACACAGCAGGGGTTCCTGGGGCAGACTTCAGAAGACGGGAGGGGTGGTGGGGATGGTGGTAGGGATTAAATAGTCCCCCTCGAGTTGGGCGTCCCAAAAGGGAGCTGCTGTGAAGCCCTAGCTAATCAGCCCTTCATAGTTTCTGAAAACTATGGCTTTCTTTTTAACTCCAAAACTCCATCTCGGTCCCCACCACCCTAAACCCGAGGGCTGGGGGGGGGGGACCCAGAGAAGGCGACCTGACTCCGGGGCGAAAACTCACCCTTGAGGAAGCAGATGCGGGTGTCCCGGGCTTCCCTGCAAAGGGTGTTAAGAGCCAGCTGGAGGGTACTGTCCCGCTTGGGCGCTTCGAGATCGGCGCTGCGCTCATCCAGCAGCACCACGGTGTGGTAGAGGCGCTTGTGCAAGCGGGCGCGGGCTTCCTCGTTGGGAAGGATGTGCTCCAAGCCCACGGCGCCCTTCGCCCTCCGCCTCACGATGGTGCTGAGGCGGACGTTGGAAGAGCCTCGGACGTGCGAGGAGTTGAAGGCGAAAAAGGAGCGGCAATCCAGCACCAGGCATTGCAAATCGCGGTCTTGGAGGAAGTCGCGCAACGTCTCGCAATCCAGGGCGCAGACTTGCATGTTGACCATCGCTCGAGTCAGGGCGGGCAGCGCGGGGAAGGGCAAAAAGACCCCCTTGTCCTTTCTTCTCCCCTCTCGGCGCCTTCAAAATAAAAATAAAAACAAAAAAACTTCCTCCGCTTGGCTGGGTTTCTGAGCAAGCAGCTTCGGGTTGCTTTATTCCTCCGTCCGGGTAATTTCTGTAATTTTCCCCTCCAAGGAACTGTATCTGAGCTGGGAGGTGAAGCTCTTTTTTTTCTTCTTCTTCTTTTTGTTTTAATCCGATCTTCGCTGGTTTGATTGGCGCGCTGGGAAAGTTGGTTGGCGCGTTTTGCGGCTCAAGAGCGTTGCCGTTCCGAGGGTTGCTGGCTTGTTTGCTCGCTCAGCCTGAACCGGCGAAGCTTTTATAGGAAGGGTGGAGGCGCTTCTTTCTTTTCTTTCCCCTTTTTAAAAAAAAACAATAAATGAATGGGGCTCGGTCACGTGACCTGCCCTTCGCAGAAGACGTCACCGCAGACACTCCCAGCTCCGAAGCACTCACGTCATCGAAGGGCCTGAAGAGCCAAGTCACTTTGCCAGGGCCCATCCACAAAAGCCCTCCTCCCTCCCCCGGGAAGGAAACCGACTGATGCAAGCGCGGCTGAGTCCTCGCCCCTCCGCCGCCTGACCTTTCCGCCGGGTTTTTTTCTTTCTTTTTTTTTTTAAAAAAAGAGGGCGCAGCGTGTACTGTACAACAACAAACGCGCACATCGAACCAAAAAGAAAAAAAGGCCTCTCTGCTTCCCTCTGCGGGTTGAAATTGCAGGAGGCGAACTCCGGAATCTCTCTTTAATACTGTAATGCGGGGACTAGAAGATTCTCCGGCAGTAGCGAAGGATCAGCCGGCGATGGGAAACGAGCTCAATACCTACATTTTATCTCTTTTATTGCAAGCCGTCGTGTAAAAGAGATGGGCGGCTATAGACAGACAATAAATAAATAAATACGTCTCCTTACAAGACCGATTCCCCTTCTCCGCATTCTTGTATCTTCCACCCTTCTTTCCTTCCTCTAATTTATTCTATTTTATAATTATTATTATATCATTATCAGGTAACGGGGTGGGAGTTGGTTTTTGATTTTTGTTTTGTTTTTTGTTTTCTCAAATTTTGTTCTATTGTACTTTACTAATTTATTTGTTCTTTTTGTTAGTTTTTATTGTTTTTATTTTTGTTTTAAATATGTTTTTTCATTGTGTAACCCGCCTCGAGTCGCCATAGGCGAATAGGCAGCAACATAAATTAAATAATTAAATAAGTAAATAACATGCCTGCCTACAGGAGGGTTAGATCCTTAAGACCAAGCCCTAACATTGGTTACCTAGTAACCCCCCCACCCCGTTACCTGATGATATAACTGTAAAATAGACCTAGTAACCGATGTTAGGGCGGTATTAATACAGATTCTGATTCTGCAAAATTTTAAGTTGTCAAGAAAGAAAAAGTGGAAAGGATAACAGGAAAGTAAAAGATAATCCTTGACTTACAAGCATAATTGAATCCAAAAGTTCTGTTGCAAAGTAAGACAGTTGCGAAGTGAGTTTTGTCCCAACTGATGATCCTTCTTACTACAATTAAATGAATCCCTGAAGTGTTGTTAAGTGAATTGTTCAGTAATTGAGCAAATCTGAATTTCCCCCATCGACTTTGCTTGGTGAAAGCCAGCTGGGAAGCTTACAAATGACAATCACATGACCTCAGGACACTGCAAATATCATAAATATGGGCCAGTTGCCAAGCGCCTGAATTTTGATCAAGTGCGCATGGAGATGCTACAATGGTCAAAAGTCTGGAAACCGGTCATAAATCATGTTTTTCAGTGCTGCTGCAACCTTGAACAATCATTAAATGATTGATTATAAGTCTAGGGCTACCTGTAGTTACCTTCATAAAACTAGAACTTTTAACATTAATTACGGGCACTGTTCATTATGCCTTCTGGGTGCTCAGTCTAAACAATATAAAACTGCTGCACAATGTGGAGTTTTGTTCTCCTAAAGGCATACTAGAGTTCAAAGCTGATTGTTTTCTAAAAGCATCACAGGACATTCTGGCTTGGACCTGCGTATAAAAGTCACAGCTTGGTAACATCAGACGTTTGACTTGGTGCGGGTGCTTGTTGTTTTTAATGTGTTTAGTTGAATAAATTTAAAATGGTTTTGTATGCTGTTTTAACTTTTGATCAGAAGCTGCCCAGAGTTGGTTATAAGAGGAGCAGCTATATCAATACCTACATAAATAAAATAATAAGTGGATAGTAACTGGATTGCTGAAGGAGAAATTATTTTTCAGTTGAGAAATTATTAATAAATATGTTCATCTAGAAACTGAAATATACCATATTAAAGCATTATTCATTTTTAAAGTAGCAACCGATTTTTGAAATAACTCTTATAGATGTGTATTTTTTCGGTGAAAAAATCTCAAGGCACGTTTATGCTGTAATTAAATGGGAATATAGTTGCAGCCTATTGAAGTTAGGTTAGCTGTAATTAATTTACAATCTTATTTCACTGAGATTTAAGTACATCTAACTGTATTTTCAATGGAGAGATTATGATTTCTTGGTTCTCAAAAGACAGACTTAAGGAGCAAGATTCCTGGGCGTTATTCTTCCTTGGTTTATGTAGTACAAATGGGCTGCAATAAATAGATTTCATGTTGGCTAGACTATGTGGACTGGGGATAATGGGGATTGTAGACCGTTCAGAATTGAAGTCCAAATATTTAAAATTGCTGACGTTGAGAGACACCATATTAGAAGATTGGAATCTGCTAATAACCCTCTCCTGTAAAGTTATCCCTAGGCACAAGACCTAGCTTTCCTTGGGTAATGATTCCTCTGCGCATCCACTATCCTTTCTAGATTTCAAAAGACAGGTATCTCCCAATATCTCATAATCAACAAACCTGGGACAAACCCGTGCAGGTTTCCATGAAGTGATTCTGTAATCACATGTTGTATAATCCACTTCCCGCAATTCCATCATAGCAGTTCTTATGAGACAGAGGTGACAATGTATCAAGTCAACTTTCCATTTGAAAACCTGGTGCCCAGAAATCATTTTTTATTTATTTGATTACTTATATCCCACATTTATCATTTTTAAAAATAATTCAAGACAGCAAACATACCCAACACACCTTCATTCTGCTATTTTCCGCACAACAACACTCCTGTGAGGTGAATTGGGCTGAGAGAGAGTGATTGGCTTTCATGGCTAAGGTGGGACTTTAATTCACAGTTTCTTGATTTCTAGCCTGGTATCTTAACCATTAGATAAGGGGTCCAAAAGTTTATACAAATGGGAAAACAGACTGTCAATGATGTCCACAATACTTTAGCAAGGAAGGAAAGGAAAAGTTTTACTGAAGTTTCATATATACTACACCTGCGCTAAAAATAAATCAATCTAGTTCTCAAATGCTCTGACTGTCAACCCTAAAGCTGATCTGACAGAAGCCATTTTGATGGCTTCAGTGTTGCCACACTGGAGCCAAGGGATAGGGAGGCGGGACTTGAGATAGAGGGGATTTTGTAGCCAAAACAAAATACTTTCTCTTGAGAAACCAAGACATTCTCACACCTGGTTGAAGGAAGGCAGAGTGATGCTACCTGGTGATTAGACTATGTGACTGATTGTTTTGAGAAAGTAGAAAATCTTTTACTTTTAATTAGGTAAAAACCACAGGAGTTTTCAGAGTTGGTTTTCACCAGGTATGTGCCAATATGATATTTCCAATAAAGTATTCTGTCAGTCTCGGAATTTTGCTTGCTATGGGTTTATTACTTGGAACCCTTACACTGACATCCTAAAATCCCAGAAGTATGGAGCTGTTGAGAAATTAGTAACTTTCTCATGAAGAAGTATCTTAAGAGACTCATTTTAATGCCCTCATCTATTCTTAGGCTCCGTCTTGTTTCTGGCATCAGTGGCTGCTTGCCAGCCTTCCCTTAGGAAAGGGTCTCTCCACCTTGGCAACTTTTAAGATGTGTAGATTAATATCTAGACTTCCACAGACAACATACCATCTGGAGAATTCTGGGAGCTGAAGCCCACCAAGTCTTAAAAGCTGTGAAGCTTAAGAAAGGGACCTAGGGAATTAAATCATGAGGTAAAAAATGTCTCCCATGCTACACTTGGGTGCCCTAGGACTTTAGTTGTAATACTTAGACACGTGCAGCAAAATTATGGCTCTTTCATCCAAATTCAATGCGATGACAAAGGGTACCCGAGGCCCCTTTAATATTTTAGGCACTAAAATGCTTTTGTAGTTTTTCTACTTGAGCAGCTGTTCTGTATGCAGCTATTGATTAGAAGAGATTGTCTACCAGGCTTATAAAATATTTATGCATTTCAGAGCATAATGAATATATAGTAAACGTAGGCAGAATTTGCATGTTTGTTTGTGTTTACAGCCAAAACAAAAGCTAAGAGATATTGTATATTACTGCAATGATAAAGGATCTATGGACCATGCTGCCATTAAAAAAATATAAAAAATATAATGTATACTATTTGCAGTTTTTAAAAATATAGAGCACATCAAAAAGCATTTAAAATAATAAGCAAACCCAGAAAAGTTCCTGCTTGGAAAATTCCCTCATCTGGAGATCAAAGGGGAGAGTACGTTGGAAAACAGGTTTTAACCACTCCCACTGCAAGCATCATAGCACTAAAACCTTCCTTTGACTCCTAGTGACTTCATGGATATACCCACATAGTTTTCTTCACAACAATACGGAAGTGATTTGCCTTAGCCTTCTTGCAGGAGATAGATATGATTTCCTGGTCTATTCCAGAGCTTAGGGATTTATTTTCCTGTGGTCTCCTATCTTGTTCTAGTAGGAGCTAACATTTACCAGGTTTTTAAAAATTGAACTATAATTACTGTTAAAGTAACTATATAACATAGATTCAGAAAATAGTTACAGAAAAAAATTAAAAATCCACTAAATATAGTACTTGAGTAAAAATACATGTATTATTACGTGTATATATTTACATATCTAAAAAACTACTAGTAGTGAAAATTTTTGCTATTGAGATAAATGATACAATGCATCCAAATTTGATAGAATTGTGGTTCCTCCTCTGATATCTTATTATTTCAACTGTGCTGTGATTTACTTTTAAGGAAATTGAAGAGGACTTATTAATGAATATCTCAATTGATTAATTTAGAATTTTCCAATATTTAGCCATTATTATTTTAGCTGCTAAAATTAAGTATATAGTAAGTTCCTTATTTTTAGTTTGAGATTCAATCCTATAAATAAATGTAATAAGCCTAACTGAAGAAAAGTCAACTCTTTGCTTATTAATGGCACTTATTTTTACTAATTGGTATTTTAATCTTATATCATTATTCAACGTAGAGTAGT